ACTCTTTCAAAACTGAAATCTATAAACATTGTAATAAACGTTTTCTTAAGTTGTATAGTTCTCAGAATTTGCAGACTCTTATAAACTACATTAGAAATTTTTCTTTTCAAGACTGTAAGCATAATAGTGTTGTTTGTTGTTTTGAATTAGTATAGCTATGGCTTAGAGCCTTGCTTGTGCTGCAGGCCAACAAGTTCTGGCAAGTTAGCTGCACTCTGGTAAGAGTCTGTGCTTGCTTTCATCTGCAGCAAGCGTGAGGTAATGCCAGTCCCCTTAACTTGGTGGGGGGTTGTTTGGCTTTATTACAGGCAAAGTGAAATGCAGTTACTGGTTTCCACCTGATACACAGTAACTTGTTTAAGCTTAAATAGCTTATGAAAGTGACACATTTGGTTCTTATTTAAAGGGTATTTTCCCTTGCTGAAATTATGCCCTTCAATCTTTCGAGACTTTGCTAGTTGATAAGTACATAGCTACTGTGCAGATAGATAATGGGGAGCCTAAGGCCTCATCTGTGCTGGTACTTGTAAATATGTATGAAACCATTTTCAGAGAGGAACATAGCCTGCAGTATTAACACTGTTGTAAAACATGTTAGAACTGAGTTAAGAACTTCATAGAGAGGTTCTTTTATTACACCATTTTGGCCAGCCAGTCTTGGAGGGGCAGAAGAAAAAAAACAATTAAAATCCATGCCCAACCTACGTAGGCAATCAAGCAGCAACTGTTTTAACTATAGCCATGTTGGCAAATGCAGTGTTGGAAGAAGAACCAAGCTTGACATTTGTGTTTGAAGACCAGTTACAAGTAAAATAGTTCCAGAACGTTTTGTTTTGCAGACTACTATTTAGATGTTGATTACGTTCTAACAAATTGATAGATTCCAGCATTATTAGACACTGAGCTAGTAAATATCTCCATAGTTAAACTTCCTAACACATTCTTTGTGTTGTCAGTGGTTTATTTATTTTTTTTAAATTCAGAATAAGAATGATAGTAAGTTGAGCTTTAAGGACGCATCTACACTTTTGCTTCAAGAGAAAAGAAGAATAAACACTCGGTCATTCTTTCATAGGTATCAAACGACCTGCTCCACCCTGTGCCAGTCTAGGTGTAGGGGAGATACTGTAGAAAACGTAAACTCCAGATAACCTCACATTGGACTGAGTTCCTAATCTCCTGTATCTAATGCATGGGATAAAAGACTTTTGTCTGTTATTTAAAGCTATGCTGACATGTTGGATTACAATACTTCCATGCAAAATTGATCTATTAGAGATCAATTTGCCCTTTTCATTTGAGAAATACAAAGGAATATTTTATTGTGTAGGTCACATAACTATGGTACTCAAAATATTTGCAATCCTAAATGTATTAATACCTATGCAGTCTTAATCTGCTTCTTGAACATATGTGTTATGATACAACCCTTGATTAGCAGTATGGTTTTTCACAGTATAAATCAACAATTTGAGCAGATGATGTATATAAAATAATTCCAGGGCTATAAACTGAGCTGGGATGTTAGCAGCATTCTTGACTTATTTGCCAAAGCAGGGCCCAAGCTTGACTTCAAAGCTCAGGACTGAAAGATATTCATAGAATAATGCAGCTTTCCTCTCTCTTCTACCATTTTTATGAGTGCTAGAACTTCTAAATAGTGCATTTTAATACACATCTCTTTGAACCTGGAATTAATAGAAAACACATTACTGTGTGAAGATCTAGAACTTCAGGTTTGTTAAATATGTATGCAGTCATCAGTATGTTCCTTTCATGAGCCTGAAAACATCAAAAGGAGAGGATCTGCTAGAAGAGAGACAATATTAAATTAAACACAGTTTAAATCTACTGCTGTTGAAACCTGTAGGGGAGAGTCTTACAAAGGGATGAGACAGAAGATTGGGGTGTCCACTGATTTAGGGATAAGTCTCAATTGTGACTAAATCAGTGTCACTGTGCCTAACAACCAAATGAAGGCTTTTATTCTGGGAGAGAAAATAGATCCAGTACACTATCCAGTCATTGTCCCTGAGGGTGCTTTTAGACTCAAGAGGGGTGTAGTTGCTTAGTCCCTCTTCGATCTGCCATGGAAAGGGAGATAAGAGATTTGCCAGTGTGGGAGCTCATCCCCACGTGCACAGCCATGGCTGCATCACTAAGAGCAGTGACTTGCCAGATGTAAGCGGTGCCAGGAGCCCACGCTGCATGTGAGGAGCTCTTGGCTAGTGTGCAGAGCTAGTCCTGGCTTTGCCTGCCGGAAGGGAACAAAGCAGTTCTTGCAGAGAGGAAGTCAGCAGGGCCAGCTGAACATCCTACTGCCCAGGTGGGACTTACACACAGTCATTGGTGCTGGAGAAGTTAAAGGTGGGCTGTGGGTATGAGATATTTGGGCGAATCATATCCTGTCCATGAGACATAGATTGGCAGCAGGGGCCAATAAATGTCTGCCTGGTTTCTGTACTCCAGATACAGTGGAAGCTGAAGTGTTCAGTGCTTGCAGTTTCAGTTGTCTCTTTTCCAGGTCTCTGACCATATGGCAGCACTTTTTGGAGGTCTTGCGCTCCAATTCTGACTGCACCATTCACCCCACAGTGTGATCCCAGGAAAGTGTGTCTGTTTCTTGTTTCTCCATCTGCAAAACAAGGGCAGCAATAATAATGCATAAATCCCATAATGCAGTAAAATTTACTGACATTTAGGAGACATTTGGATGCTGCAGTAGTGAACGGAGGAAGAAAAACATGGTGAAATGAGCAAGTCTGTGTTATTTGCCTACAGTGCAGGGAAGCAAGACAGGGGCCATAAGCTGAATTGTAAGGGTAGCAATGACATCATTTCCAGAATATCACTAGTCCTCAACACACAGCTTCCATAAGGCAGAGAGAGTGAGCTGACTATGTGTAACATCAGAGGGCTGGCTGAAGGTTGTGCGAACAATGGTGAATGTAGCTTTTTCTGAATAGTTGAGTTCCTAGTTGGTGTGTGTGTGAGGTATGATACTAGTCTGGCATCTCACTGTTTTTATGGTAAAAGAGCTTCTAATGAAATTGTGTATCTTCCATTTCTCTTTCTTACCAGCGTGTAACTATTTTCACACATACAGAATTCTGTCATTAAATGGTAAATCAGAGCCAAATATAGAGGGAAAATAATGTCAGATAAAGTGGTTTTGGTTTTTTGTCTCCTGGCAGGCTGTGAGGTCACTTAAAGAAACAATTGAAGACTGTTGGGATCAAGATGCTGAAGCTCGACTAACAGCACAATGTGCTGAGGAGAGAATGGCAGAACTCATGATGATTTGGGAGAGAAATAAATCAGTTAGTCCAACAGTCAATCCTATGTCAACTGCCATGCAAAATGAGCGGTAAGACGAGAGAACATTTGGTTTTGGTCAGCAGTGAATGCCCAGTGCAATGTTCAGCTCACTCCAGGAAGAAAGCTAGAGCACACTGCTTGCATTACGTTTCTGCACCCTTGAAGTGGGTGTGTGTCACATGAGCTAGTCTGCATATGGATATTTGTAAGACATGATCCTGGTGGCTTTGTTCTTAAGATCTCCTGTGTGTTCCCAGAATTCAGGCACCTTTTATATAAATAATTGTACTTCTCACAGAGGGGCCTTTTGAACTGAATTTAGGCAAAGTGTCCACACAGGCTTGCATAGATACGAAGTGACAATGAATTGTCTTTAAGGACACTTGCTAAGTAATGCATGAAACTTCTATTTAAAATGTTCTTCTAAAAACTAAATTTGCAGACAATATGAGTTCAGGAAATCACCAAGTCTCAAACCTATAGCTTTTCAGTTAACTACAAGGGCCATCATTTAAGTCATTCTGACCCTGGTGAGAGAGATGCTGCATGTTCTTTGTTTGTATATGATCCAGAGGGAGTGAGAATTTGTAGAAGTGACATTGGTACTATAGTATACACTAGATATCTGGATGTGAGATAAGAGTGTTGTTGTTGTATGTGACAGTGCTTATTGTAATGAAAAAAATATATTTAAATCATAGAATAACTACATTGTTGAAATAATAGATTTCTCATGGTCTAAGACCTTGAGACTTTCCCAGCATCACTTTCTCCATCTTGTGTGTTTAGTTCTTGTAGCCCTCCTTCAGCATCACATCTTTGCAACGAGAGCAGCACCTTGGCAGTGTACTGGACAAATAGCATATTGGACAAATAGCAGAGAATTACTGTTATCTGACTTAGTTGTATAAACAGCATCCATGACAAAATTGCTGTCCTACAATTTTCTGCTACCCAGGATTTTTTAAGGAAGTTACTGAAGGATCTCAGTTTGTACTGTATCTGTCCTTAGTTTATGCATGAAAAGAAACTAAAAGACACTCCGCTGTCTTTAATTTGAGGCTTTATAATATGGGGTGATTTTTATATATGTGATCTTAATATCACTTATTTTCTCTTGAAGGAATCTGTCGCATCATAGGCGTGTATCAAAGATAAGGCCGTATGCAGATTACTCTTCCTCTTCCTACATTGAAGATTCCATCCACCACACTGACAGCATAGTGAAGAACATTTCTTCTGAACATTCAATGTCCACTACACCATTGACTTCAGGGGAAAAGAATAGAAACTCCATTAACTATGAGCGGCAACAAGCACAAGCTCGCATCCCTAGTCCTGAGACAAGCGTCACCAGTTTGTCCACCAATACCACCACCACCAATACAACTGGGCTCACTCCTAGCACTGGCATGACCACCATATCCGAAATGCCTTATTCAGATGAAACAAACTTACATACTACAAATGTCATGCAGCCAGGTGGGCCCACCCCTGTTTGTCTGCAGCTAACAGAGGAGGACCTAGAGACAAATAAATTGGATCCTAAAGAAGTGGATAAGAACCTGAAAGAAAGCTCTGATGAGAACCTGATGGAACATTCACTTAAGCAGTTTAGTGGGCCAGATCCACTCAGCAGCACTAGTTCCAGCTTGCTTTATCCACTGATAAAACTTGCAGTAGAGGTGACAGGACAACAGGACTTCACACAGGCTGGCAATGGTCAAGCATGTTTGATTCCAGATGTCCCATCTTCTCAGGTCTATCCTCTACCTAAGCAACAGAACCTTCCGAAGAGGCCTACTAGCCTCCCCCTAAACACCAAAAATTCAACAAAAGAGCCACGGTTAAAATTTGGTGGCAAGCACAAATCAAACTTGAAGCAAGTAGAAACAGGTGTTGCCAAGATGAACACTATCAATACTGCAGAACCTCATGTTGTGACAGTTACTATGAATGGAGTGGCTGGGAGAGGCCACAGCATCAACTCCCACGCTGCCACAGCGCAGTATGCCAATGGCACGGTGCCATCTGGCCAGATAGCCAGCTCGGTGGCGCAGAGGGCCCAGGAGATGCTTCAGAACCAGTTCAGTGGAGAGGATAGTCGGCTGAATATTAATTCGAGCCCTGACGAGCATGAGCCCTTGTTGAGGCGGGAGCAGCAGGTTGGCCATGATGAAGGTGTTCTGGACCGCCTAGTAGACAGGAGAGATCGACCACTGGATAATGGCCGAACAAATGCCAATAACAACAACAGTAATCCCTGTCCAGTGCAAGACACAGCTACAGTCAGTATGCAGAATGTAGTGAGAAATCCTGGGCAGACCCAGACTAGAAGAGCACAGAGGCCTAATTCACTGGATCTATCGGCCACAAATAGTTTGGATAGCAGTAGTTTGCAGTGTAAGTGCTTGCAAGACTTGGAACAGTTTCTCTGACAGTCTTTTTATGTAATAACTACACATATCTGCTTGAATAGAAAGTACTTGTGTCTCTCCTGTCCCTCCTCAAAGCGTACTTACTAAATCCCATATAAATTTAATTTCTACTAGTACAGTTTCTGTCTTCTCAATAAAGTCCTGACTCCATCAACTCTAGCACATTAGGTCACTATCTTTCTTCCACATACATGGAATAAATCTGTCCCCTAATAACCCTGTCTACTCTGGCAGTAGGAAGGGAGTAATTTCTAACTTTCATTATTCCTTGCAAGGCACCTATCTTGGCAGCTGCAAAGCATAATGAAAAAGCTTCCTATTTCTTCCTTCAGGGGCACGTTACACCAACTTTTCCTTATTTTTCTTCATTCTCTTAAGAGTAGCTGACTCCAAGATTCATTGATTTAAATAATTTATTATAATAAATACTTATTTGCATAATTACTTTCAAAGCACCTGATTTCACTGTATTAGACCAGCCTAGATGGAGTGTCAGGCATTCTCTACTTTGCTATCTGATCTCCAACAGTTATTTCAATCCTTCATCAGCTTACCCTGTGCATACTAAAAGTTTGTTAAAGTACTTAGAGAAGGAATTGATTTTAATAATTACCTTGAAAGTTGTATGGCTAAAGATCTAAGAGGTTATAATGGGGCTCCCCTTTTTACAGTAAAAATCTAATAATGTAGTTAAATGAGTTACATCCTCTGAGTCTCACTTTGGGGCTGTTGGAGCTGTTGGAAAGGCCTCCTGGTGTGCGTTTTTGAGAGAATGTATTTCCAGAATCCACTGTAGTCTTTGACAGGTGCTTGCAAACTTCTGGCTCTGTTTAGATAGTCACTGTGATATTGGAGTGCCAGGCATGTTTGGAAAGAAAAGGTTTAGAAACAAACCAGAACATGTCTTTCAAGAAATGTAGTTGACTATTTAGCAGTGGAATACTGAAACCTTCCTTTTAGGTAGGAAAGCTCAATTATTTTTCTTAATGTGTTGACATGAGTTGAAATCTTACTGAGATAAAGAAAAAACAATCTTGCAGCAGCTTTCTTTAGTTGAAGGTTAAGTTAAAAGAAAGGGTTTGAAGGTTATATAAAGTGAAAGGTTTTTTAACAATCAGATTTTGACTGCTGAAATTTTATCATTAATAAAGTGGGTTTTATCAATTTTGCAACCCAAAGTCCCAAATCCTGACTTAGGATCTCAACAGAGAATGGACCATTTTGTCTCCAGGTGAAATGCTTTGCCAGGTGAAGGAGAATTGGGGCACCTATGATTTAATTATACTTTAAAAGTTTAGCCTTTGCCATCCTATAGTAGCGACATTTTTTTGTACCTCCTATTACAGGTAATATAAGATTCTATGATTGCAAAAGCCCCTCAAATGTCAAATGCTGATTCTGCTGTTTGATGCCATGTGCATTCAAGGTAACACAAATTACTTCAGTGAAGTAATTTCTGACAGAGAACAGAATCTGACCCCTTGTTTTGGTGGCAGCTACTCTAATTGATACACCTGTCATGTCTCTGCCACACCGTTGCTTTTGTGTGATAAGATTTTGTTCTTTTGTTCTGTTTTGCATGAGTAACAACCCTGGTCTCTCCCATATAATCTTACCTTCCTCATAATACTATTTTCTACTCTGTTTTTGGTTTTTGTTTGTTTTGTTTGATGTTTTGTTGTTGTTGTTCAGTAGGTGACTCCTCACAGGACGGCAAATCAGGCTCAGGAGAAAAGATCAAGAAACGTGTGAAAACTCCCTACTCACTGAAGCGGTGGCGTCCTTCAACCTGGGTCATCTCCACCGAGCCGCTGCACTGCGAGGTCAACAACAACGGCGCTGACGGGGCAGCCCACTCCAAATCCAGCACTGCTGTTTACCTTGCAGAAGGAGGCACTGCCACCACAATGGTATCTAAGGACACAGGAGTGAACTGCCTGTGAAATACTTCAAAAGCCGACAAATTACCTTATTTTTTTCTTTCTTTCTTTTTTTCCTTTTTTTTTTTTTCATTATTTGAAAAGAACATGCAGAAGACATTTTAAAAAAACTGCTTTCTCTTCCTGTCAGCAACCCCTACCAAGGACTCGCTTTAAATAGATTTCAGCTATGCAGAAATTTTTTAGCTTATGCTTCCATATTTTTTTAATTTGTTTTATTTTTTGAACGTTTTTGCACTTTTATTTAGTATCGCTAAAGTTAAGTCTGTCTGTTTTGACCACAGAATATATATATGTGTATCAAAAAATGTGGTCTCAAAATATTTTTTTAAAAAAAGTAACAAAAAAATGGTATTGCTGATAATCAGTTTGGACCAGTTTCTTAAGGTCACTAAGATTGTAAGCAGACTATAAGACAGGTTTGACTGCAGTGGTGTCTTGTAACCATGTTTTGATTTCTGTGCACAAGCTAGTCTGTATATTTCTATGTTACAAAGTGTATTCTCTTTTGAACCCCTTATTTTTCTTGTGTCATGTTGAAATGTGCAATAGTCTATAGTTCACAGTATGCTTTATTGAAAAGTGTGTTTCTAAAACTGCCACATGTTCCCCTTTATGCATTTGTTAATTTTTCCCTGACAGTTGAGCCATCAGCCAGTCATGGCAGTGAACTTTGCACACCTGCCTATCTCACATTGTGCTCTGAGTTGACAGTGCATGAATTTTTGCCCAACTTGAAAGGGCTTTTAAAAAGGAACAAAAAAACCAAAAATAGTCTGAGCTCAGTACCTTTCCTTTGACCCTTCCAAATCAAAATGTGTTTCCTTAATAGTAGTAGATGTCAGCCTGTGAAGTTCTGAATAACAAAATGTTGAACAAATGTAAGGAAACAATGTCAGCCATTTTTTTCCATTTCTTTTGTATGCAGTTTCACCCCTGTATTTATGTAAAACCTTACTTAGAACACTAATGATGTACATTGAGCATTACATTTTATTCAGAAATCTTAATAACTGCCACACCTAGTGAAGAAGTCTAGTAAAGTCTAGTGAGGGTGGGTTGTGAGCACACAAGAGGAAAAATCATACATCTTATTTGGCACAAAATGGTTTTGTGATGAGTTGCAAATCTTTCCTGTTATACCTGCTCACAGACAGTATGGGGTAAAATCAGCCTGGTTGCTTTTGCAGGTAGTTGCATCCTAACTGACTGTGGTTGCTGAGTTGAGTTGAAACTGTTCCTCCCTTCAGTGTTTTTAGAGCCCTTCGTTCATCTTTTAAAAATTTATTGCATGCTTTTAAAATTCATGGTTGAGTGTGTGCAGGGAAGGGTTGGGGTTTTTCCCCCACTGCTTAGACCCTTCTTTCAGTTTGTATGCACATTGATTTTAGGTGTCAGTGAACATTAATGTAATAACAATTGAGATAAATTGTTTTTTCACCATCTCAAGTAAACCTTACCTTTTTTTAGAATGATTGTCGTTACTGTCTACTGAAAGAACATTAATTTCCTTATTGGTCAGGACCTCCTTCCACCTAAGAAGTATCCTTCCATACAAGAAATATTATTTCTGATTGAAACCATTCTAGTAAAAACTATTTAGATAAAGAAGTTACAACATGTCAGTCTTTGGTGCTAAGTAAAATTTTATCACTGGTGATGTTCAAAGAAAGAAAATCTATTCAGTGTGTCTGCCAAACTCCTGTGGCAGAATACTGGCAGCAAACAGTTGCCTCCCCAAGCCGGTCTCCTTTGAGCTGACTGAAGCAGATGCTCTGTGCTTTCAAGCTCATTTGTTTCCTTGCTGTTACATTATTTCCCCCCCCCGCCCCCCGAGGTAAACTTTGCCAACCCTTTTTTTCTGTATCTGATGATACAACTAACATAATATATGCCTGGCTACATCTGATTCTTGCTGTTTCCCGACCTCCCCTGTTCAAGATTGATAGTATTTTCTCTTGTAATGATTCTTAATGTTTCTTAAATTCTTGTAGATACCTCCAAGAGATAACTATAAATCCAGACTTTGAATAAGTGTAGTTGTAGAAATACAAGCCATGAAACACATTTTGGGCTTCCTGTGTTCTTTAAGAACCAGTTCAAGTAGTACCTTTTGTCTCTGAGGCTTAATTCTGTTACCCTGGTGCAGTTTTATCTCCTCTTCAAAAATACAGCCCTTCTCTGGTGTTACTTGTAATTCACTCTCCAGCTTCCCATCTGCTGCAATCTCGCATCCCAGATGTTGAAAACCTGCCAGTTGCTCAGCTGGGTTTCAAGACCTGAATCTGAATTTTTGGCATTCTGTTGATAATGTTGGCTGTGGTTTTCTGCTCTCTTGGCCTTCTTTGAGTTTCCATTTGAAGTACAGTATGTTGTGCTGTAACGATTGCTGTATTGTGCACATTGAAGAGTCTTCATTCTTTTCCCAGTGATTTTTTGAGTTGCTTTGCATGCATCATCCATCAGCATTTCAGAATGTGGACTGAAAAGCATATTTAGGCCACTCTTACCTATTGTGAAACACCCTGGGGAGAGAAGAGTTATTTGCTCTGACTACTGTTTCTATCTGCTAAGACAGGCTTTCACCAGTCATAAAGCCTTTCTTTTCAGGCCAGTCTTTGTGAGAAATCCAACTTCTTAATGCTCAATGCAAGCAAAATCATTTTAATACCAGATGAAAATGTTCTTCTGCAGTTTTCCTTAGACATTCTTTAAGCAAACAGTTTATTTTCTTTATCTATTTCTATCACTTCCTGGAAAGCCTTTGGGATGAATTATAATTAGTAGAAAGTATTGGCTTTGTAATCTACCAGGGACAAATATAGTTTCTAACATGATAGAAATGTGTACTTTACCACAAAGTAACCTATAGATTAAATAGAGGAAAAAATATTTATTTTTAAAGGTCAGCCAAAACAAACTCTTGACTAGGTACCAAAATATTGTCATTCTGCACAGCTAGGTGAGATCAGATTTGCAGTTTGGTTTCAGTGCTTAAATTAATAATGCCCTTTTTTTGCTCAGAGCACATAATCCAATCTCCACACAATATTTTCTCTGTAAATTAAATTATATTGGATTGTATCACATACCATGGGGAATCATCCCTAACCAGACGAAATACATGTATGAGAGAATTCTACAGATCAGAACATGGATAGTTGGTAAATGTACTATAATCAGGGGAGACAAATGTGTTTTCTTTTGTGGTTTGGTTTTGGGTTGTTTTGGGTTTTTTTTAAGAAAAATGGATAATTATGAAAGTTGATAATTTTCTATCAATTTCTCATGTATATTACATACAAGATAAATATAGCAAAATTAAAATAGAATTATAGTGTAAATACCTATGAATTGTGCCACTGTCAAATAGGCAACAGTAGATTATTTGCTATGGTAATTTATAATGTATAATTCAAGAAAATGTTAGAGCAAACATTTGTGATGTTTGTATATATAAGCCAAAATCCAGAATCTTACTAGTTTTAGGAAATGATGTGCTAGTAGAAGCCAGAAGAATTGCTTAGGTTAATGGATTGTTGCTTTTTCAGTTTCCTGTGGTAGAGACACTCACCAACATTACATGGTTTTTAGAATGTGAATTCTAACCATTTGAAGAGATGTGCCTCATAATCACATTTATTTTCTTCTCAAATTTATATTTACAGGTCAGATTATCTGCAGCACTTCCCCCCAATTTGCTTATAAGGCTTTATAGTTTCATGTGCTAAACAAACAGTATTAAAAATGCCTCTTGAAACTCCAAGATGCACTGAAATTGCACAGCTAAAGGTTAAGGAATTCCTAATTTAAAAGAAAATCATCTGATAGTCTCATTAGAATATTCTCAGAAACAAAGAACTTTTCTGTTTGTGTTTGTTTTCTTACTGCTGTTCATTTGTTTCTTGTTTTCATATAGAGAGGGACCTAATTTTCAAAGACAACAGAGTTTCATTTTTTTTCAGTGCACTGGAGACAAAAACAATGCAAGATGGATGCTGACAGGTTTCAGGAAATAAAAAGAACATCTACCTACATTATAAATATGTTTAGAAAGTACATATCTTCCCACCTCTCAGCTTTCTCCAAAATAAATTTTTAATCATACCTGCTTCAGAAATGAGAATAAGGAAGTTATGTATTTGTATTGGTTATTGGGCCAAATTTAATAATAATTAATTGTTACCTAAATATATATATATATATAAATGCATTGTATATGCCATAGCTTCAGTGTTCAGTGCAATTTTGCTTTAATTATATTACTTTTTTAAATATTAAAAAATACCCCACTAACAAATGTTCAGGTTATAATTTTCTTTTAGGAAAAATATTCAGAAGATTGTAGCCATTCTGCTGCTGAAATGTTATTAAAGAAAGTTTCAGCCTAATTGGGGAGAATTTTAAAATTCATATATGCAAACAATACAGGAGAAATTAATTATGTTGTAATTCTCACTTGTATAAAAACCATGGTATTTCCTGTTGCTGTAACAGGCTGGTTTTAAGTAGTAAAAATAATACAGTAGCACATATACATGTCCTGATGTCTCATTGGAAAATTTGGAGCAACTTATCAAAGACAATTGAAATAGAATTGATTAGTCTATGGAAGTTGGATTATAGGCTGGATAATTTAGTATTTTGCATAAATATAGATTATTTGCATTTTTCTGTCTGGTCTCCCACTATCCAGTTTAACAGGTAAATATATTAGCCTCCTTTAAAAATAGGCCTTTTTTTTTGGTTCAACTTAAAGCCTTTTTTCAGTGAAAAAGGTATACATATTTTAGTGAAGCTAAATATATTTTTTAATGTAAACTGTGTGTGTATTTAGATACATATGTGTGTTGTTCATAAATTCCAGGACTAAATTCTTTAAGTTGCAGCATCAGATGGTAGCACTGATAGAACGTATGATGTTCTTTTTCATAAGTCATTTTTAAGTTGCCTTTAGTTCATTACAGTAAAACCAGGATCAGGCTGTGACATACAGTCCAGTA